AAATTCTGGAAAAGGCGTGAAGTCCAGAAATGGATGAACAAGCACAATTTTCCACTGGAGTTTATGGCCGGTGAACCTAAAGAAGGAAAAGGAGAAAGTCTGTGGTGAGTTCTCTAGCCCCGTGGCCCTAAATCCTCAGGCTCAAACCTCCCATCCTACAAATCTTTTAAAAAAAAGTAGCAAATACAGGCAATAATGGCAGCCTTCATTTGTTTTTCCAGTTCCTGAATGCTGAGGAATTTTAAATGAGTGAAATATAGACTCACTTTCCTTAACAAACATGACATTAAAAGACAGCTAATTAGGGATTTGCTGAAATAGGATGTGTTGGGCCAGAGGCTGCAGATATTACAGCCTAGCTGTTAAAAAAAAAAAAAACATACAACGTGCTAACAGCTCCTTTTATGGCAAACACAGAAGAAAAACCTTTTATACTTTTATAGAACCATTGGAACACTTCCCATCCAGGACACAATCCTAAAGACCCAATCATTATCAACCTGCTGACATGAAAGCAACAGACCTTTATATCTAGACTGTGTACTGGATACAACAGACTCTGCAGCCAGATGTACAAGAAATTATAGGCTGTGCCCAGGTGGACAAACACCACAAAATACTGAAAAAGTGATACAGACATGCTCTCTACATGCAAGAGAGAGATCCAAGGTTTGGCCGGTTGGTATTCCAATGGAAACCCAGCTGTATGGAACAGTGGAAGACATGTGTTGCACCATAGACTTCATAGAGGCCTGTGACCCTCTTATCTAAAAACCACTGGCTGGGAGAACAAAAAAGAAGAGGATACTAACCTGACTGGCATATAAGCCAAATTTTGATGATCCTCTGTCACTATCACTGCTTACGTCAGTCACAAGCTCTCCTTTTGAAAAGTATTGATTTCTTTGTTGATGTGATGTACCTTTGACTGTGGAAATATCTGCAGATGGTCTTGTTTTACTATTGGGCTTGGTCGGCTGTTTCTTTCCTGCATAAGGTTCTGAATTCCTCTTTATATCTACACCATGTGTGGAACTTTGTATACTCACATCATTCACTGATTTCTTTTTTATTGCCTTTGTAGAATAAGCAGATTGTGAAGCAAACTGCTTGCTATCTTGCTTCTTATTATTCACTTTGTCTGGAGTAGAATGGAATTTGCCTGGAGCAGACTCAAATTTACCATACAAGTTGTCCTTTGCAACCAAATGAGATCGAAGTGGAACAATGGGTAGAGTGGTATCATATCTGTTTTTGGATTCAGCATCAAAATCATAAGGATCTGATGATAAGCTGTATACAGACTTTGAGTAAGACATTGTGACTGTTTTCTCCATTCTGTGTTTAGTCCAAAAATGTTTTTTAGTCTCAATGTTTTGTTTGGCTGTTTTTGAAGGCTGTGCTCCTAATTTAGTAATCAAAAAAGTATCATTTTGTCTCTTTGTTAGTTTTTCAATAGGTGTTATTGTTGAGACATTCCATATGGGACTGGGAGACCTGCCTGATAAATCATTCTGAACAATTATCTTATTACTCTTTCTTGAAGTACTTCTCACAATGTCATCACTGGAACTGTGATCATCTGTGATGTTTGTACCCTTTCTTGAAGTACTTTTCACATCTGTATCATGGGAAATTGAATGATCTTTCGTCTTTTTACTCTTTTTAGTACTTCTAATATCTTCATCACTGAAACTGTGATCATCTGTGATGTTTTTACTCTTTCTTGAAGCACTTTTCCCATCTTTATCATGGGAAGTTTGATGATCTGAGATCTTTTTACTCTTTCTTGAAGTAGTTCTCACATCTTCATCACTGGAACTGTGATCATCTGTGATGTTTTTACTCTTTCTTGAAGCACTTTTCACATCTTTATCATAGGAAGCTTGGTGATCTGAGATCTTTTTTCTTTTTCTTGAAGTACTTCTCAAATCTTTATCACTGGAACTGTGATCATCTGTGTTATATTCTGCATATGAAACAGTCATATTCCTAGAACGTAGCATTCGAGCTGGCAAGTCTATTGAAAAACTGTTTGAAGTCTGTTTCCCAGATTTGGCTTGACAATTCTGTATGTTATTATGCAAAGTGACCTGCAACAGCTGTTTAGCTTTGGTGCACTTTATATTTTTGTCCTCACAGACTTCCGCACATGTTTTATCTTCAGGTCTTCGTGATCTAGGTGCTGCCATATTCCATTCTGAACCAGACATGACAGCTTTATTTTTAGGAGACTCAACGGCCTCCTCAAACTTTTTCTTTGATACGGCTGACTTTAACCTCATCTGTGTGCTTCCCAGATGACTTTGTTTACCTTCAAAAGTTGATATTTTATCACTGTTTGCTTTTGTGACTGTATTCTTGCTAAAGACATAGGAGTTCTCTATGTTCAATAATGCATCTGTACCTACAGCAGATGTGATGTAGTCACCAGATGCACCGGGACATTTTGAGTTTACTTTTCCTGTCTTTGATAACTGCTGAGGGGTAAACAAAACCTCCATGCTTCTGGTTCATGTCTTCTGCGTCAGTATCAAAATCAAATGGATGGGGACGGTTCAAACTGTGTCTCTTGAATGACATCAAATCCCTTGCCAACTTCCTTTGACGTTTCAGTTTCTATGAAAAGCTCTCCAGAACTGGAAACACTTGCAGTTTCCCCTTCCACGATATTTTCCCCATCAACAGATTTCAGTTCCTTTGTTTTCTCCAGCTCACATGCTCTAGTAGTCGGCACAGATGCTCTGTTTGGCTCAACATACATTACAGAAACGCAATTAGCCTTTTCACTAGCGCCATGCCCACCTGAAGAAGCACCATAAGAAGCACCGTATCCACCTGAAGGAGCAACACTCCCACCTGAAGGAGCACCACACCCACCTGAAGCAGTACCACTCCCACCTGAAGGAGCAACAGTATCTTGTGGGGTTGTTTTTCTGGGAATCTCATTTGCAGTCTTCTCTCTGTTCTGATGGACTGGTAGAAATTCTTTCAAAGTTTTAAAATCTGAATTTGTTTCTGCCTCATCATTACCTTTTCTTTTGATATACCCAGTGGTATTGTGTTTTTCTTTAGCTTGTTTTCTTCTTTCTATTTTCTTTTGATCCTTATTTGCTTCATGATTCATTCTGTTGACAACCTTTTTGCTTTCTGAATTATTAGGCTTCTCTGATACCTTTTTGTCTGTATTTCTTAGGGATTTAAAGCTTTTAGATGGCTTAAAGTCATCAAGTGAAATGGTTCCAGGACTAATAACTGGAACTTTAGTATTAGTAACAACTTTATGCATAGGTTTAGAATCCTTCTTTCCTTCAGTGTCAACTTGCTGTGATTTTCTTCTCTTGTTACACAATTTAACACCTGTTGATGAAAAATACAAACATAAACAGAAAAATAAAATGAACAATGCATATTTACACAACACATTTGTATGAAACTATACAATCTGAGTGTTTCCATATATAATACACCATGATAATAATAATTATCATCATCAAGTGTCTTGCTAGCTACCATAGGCGTTTATGCATCTCCACAGATCTTGGTCTTTGGTGTTCTGGATCAATTCCACTCCATGCCACTTTCTTAAGCCAGCCATTCTCAGTTTTTCTTGGTCTGCCTCTGCTTCTACCAGTGATCTTTCCAGTCATCACAACATTTTCTAGTGCTTTTTTTCTCATCACATGATCAAAGTACTTTGTTTTCTTCTCATTGTTGTATATAATGTTTTTACTTTCATTGGCCCTTTCCAGGTAATCATTGTTAGTTATTCTGACAGTCCAAGGTATTCGCGAAATTCTTCTCAAGAACCACATCTCAATCGCCTTCAAACTCTTCTTAATTATAATAACAGCTGTCATAATATTAGTGGCTAGCACACTGCCTGACCACAATTAAAGTCCAGGTTCAGTACATAGCTTAGTTATGATGTTTTACTGACTGCAAATAGAATAAGAAATTATGATAGGAAAAAAGTTAGGATGGAACTACAGCTAAACTACATTAACAGAAATTGATCAAATGGTTCAAAAACGTGTCAAGACCACTACAAGATAGTACACTACAAACAGCCCTGCTAGACAAAAGGGAAGCAGAGCTATGTGAGCGATGGATAGATGGAATCTTCACGACCGTGAATACCAGCATGTACACTGCACACATCAAAGATCACACCAAACAAAAATATTTTACGAAAAATTCTTCTCCTTATAGTCCATGCTATGTGTCATTGATCCATAACTTTATGACTTTTATACTTTCAATCAACTCTGTTACAGATGATCTTTCATGCCATGATGTCAAACCATCCAGAATCTTCTCTCTTGGTCTTCCTTCTGCTTCTTTTCTCCTCTCAATTTACCATTTTTATGCATCTGAGTTTTCTTTATCTCATGACATGATCAAAGAATGTAGACTGTCTCCTTCTTACATGAGTAATCAATTCTGTTAATGAGTTCATTGCTTAAATGAAGTTTTCATTATCCTCCCCCCTCCCCTTCTGCCCAATCCCCCTCTCTTACATCTATTTTATGGTGTTTTCACCATTCATTTATAAAGCCCTACCTCTGCTGCTTCTACATGTTAATTAATCTGGTAACTGTCCAGAATTTAATTGCATGAATGAAAAATGATTACATTGAGAAAAATGATTCAGGAAAATAAAGAAGCAAAATATGTTTATATAATTTAACAGCATAATGGTTAGTCTGCTTGCCTGCCAAAACTGTGGCTCCCAGTTCAATCTTTAGTAAAAGCAGGTATTTTCCCCACAACTTCAGATCCTGGGATGACCTTTTCTCAGAACATTTTTTAAGACAAAGAACAAAACAGTAAAATAAAGGACTCTCTTTTTATACAATAGGTTTGATCCCATATGGCTCAGTCTCTTACATCAGAGCGGCTAGCACAAACACAGAATCAACTCTGTATATCTGGTGATGTTCACTATTTATACACTACTCTAGCGTTTGAATACTTGTGTCCATTGAAAGAAAACAAACCTTCTGGAATACTTGCAAAGGATGACTTGATGATCTGGGGAGAAGAAGAAAATTTAAACTTAAACATTCCAGGAAGGCAGAATTGTATAAGAATAAACAATATGAATCCTGCTTCCCTTGACTTTAGGATTTGACTGTTAGTTGCCTATCTTTGAAAGGACGTTGCAGAAGTAACATCATTATTTTTTGGGCTGTTTTGGTTTTTCTAGGCAATTTATATTATCAACAGTTTGCCACTGCCCGTGAACGGTCAGCTCTCGGCAGCACTGCTGAAACCAACGCAAGACAAATCGTCCGCAGCTGGGATCGAGCCTGGTACCCTGGCATTACACAGCACATTTAAAACGCCCAAGATACAGACGCCGACGACATGTCTGCACCAGACTCATTTCAACAATACTTCCAGTGCCTTAGAAACCTTTTGGGTGCTGCAGTAGCACAATGGCGAGATGTCAGCCAACCCAAAAGTTCAAATCAGCACCTGGGGAAATATGTATAATCTACCTCAGCTTCAAGTATGAATCAACCTAGGATGGGTATCAAGTAATTTCCTGGGGAAGTAAAGGTATTGCCGTGACTCTGATCACATCACCTACTGAATGTTGATCAGTTTTTTAAAATGTTAGCATGAGATCATGTACCTCATGAGCCAATGCCATGAAAAGGGGTGTTTTTTAATTTGTTTTAAAACTGAAGCCACTTCTCAAGGGGAAGACCAAGAGAGACCCTGTATAGAGCCATCATCAGGTTGGGCTCAACCATGGACTCGATAAGCATCCAAGACCTAAAACAGGTGACACCGAACCGCATCAGAGCTATGAGCTCTGCCCTATGTGCCGTCCTAGGCTCATGAGGAATGATAAGCTAACTAACTAACTAACACTTATCATGAGGTAAACAGATTAAATCTAAAACGTTTTAAGAGGATACTGTTTGTAGCATTTTTGTTTATGCCAAATAATTTGAAATTCATAAAGAAAATAAAGCCGGTAAGATTGCAAGTTATTGTTATTTCTATCATAAAAAGACATCACACGAAACAAAAAGCAGAACCAATCAGTTTCACATGATCAAAAACACAAATGGCAAGTGAAAGCTGCAACTAGAGAACCTTCATCAGCACTTTACATAAATATACAATACCACAAACACGAACAAGAATACACAAAATCACTAAACGGAAGTCTTTTTCTTCTTCTTTCCTTTGCCTGAAATGAGTTGTATATATCAGCAATTTTGTCTCTTGCATAAATTTCACTGTCGTTGTTAGTTCATTCATTGGTCCATAGAGTGTACGTTCCACTGTTGTTCTTTCTAGGAAAAAGATTTACCTCAATGTGTCAAATTCAATGCAGTCCTGGAGCACATGCTCTGCTGTCTGGGGCACCTTTTCACATGTGCACATGGCTGATATGCCTATCTTGAATTTTGTGTACATGTGGTTATGTAATCGTTTGTGCCCTGTTCAGAGGCGGAGGATAATGACTTATTCTGATCTGTCCATAATAAAATAGTCGTCTTGTGCTGAGGCTGGTAGTTTACTAATCGATTTAAGATTCTTTTCTTTTTGGTGGTATGTGACTGGTACATCCGGCTGCATTTTTGTCGCACTATCCCTTGCCAGTTGATCAGTTTTCTCATTTCCAGGCATTCCACAATGAGACGGTATCCACTGCATTACGGCTTTTCGCTGAAGGCTGAGTTGTGTCAGCAGTGTTTGCAATTCTGGTAGTTTCCTAGACTGGAGAGCTTTAAGTACGGATTTTGCATCGGTCAGCACTACCACATACTGTGAGCCAAGATTGGTATTTAGCAGTTTCTCTGTTGCTTTCTTGATAGCCGTCGGCGTCTGTGGCTTAGGCGTTACAAATGCGCTTTGTAATGCCAGGGTGCCGGGTTCGATCCCAGCTGCGGGCCTTGCGTTGGTTTCAACAGTGGTATCGAGAAGCCGACCATGCAGAAAGCAATGGCAAACTACTGGACGTAAACTTGCCTCGGTAAAACAACAACAGCCAAAAAATGCTGGGATTGGTTCTGCAACATCCTGTAAAGGATACGCAACTAACTCTTCTTGATAGCCTGAGTTTCTGCATCATAGTTATGGCAGTAATTCCCGGTTGGTACGCTGGACTTATCCTTAGTACCATCTGGGAATAAGTAAATATCTCCAAGAGAAATCACATGTCTGTCCGTCTAGCTGAATCTCTGACACGTGTGTGACCACCAGAAATAAATACTAGCCAGAATAAGGGCTTTAACTAAAAAATATAAATAAAACTGTTGGATGTTAAGTCCACTAGGCAAGATGGGGCCTATTAAGTAGATGGTATTTCCATTATCTTGTTCAGATACTCTATAATTTCATTAAAATGGAAGATGAGACTGGTCACTATTATAAGCCTTCTATTATTAGTATAGTTTCGTCGCCCAGCTTCTGAGTTGAGTGCATGGCGTGACACTGTGAGCTAGGTGTGTTTTTCGTTGGCACAGGAGCGGAGCAACTATAGGGTGACCCGTTTGCTATGAAGCTGAAACTAGGATTACCAGATTACCAGATTTCTATTATTAGTATAACTTGTGACTTCCCATACAAATGAGTTTATGGTGCATAGAGAAATCACTATCATCATCCTGCTGTGCCCCATAAGGCTTGCAGTCTAGTCCTCCATTCCGTTTTAACCTATAAAATCTTTTCAATATCACTCAAGGATTAAGGGGGGGGGGGGGGGGAGGGTGGGGGGAGGGGGGGGGTGGGGGGGGGGACTTTTTCAGGGGGGGTGGGGGGGGGGGGGGGGGGTGGGGGGGAGCTTTTCTCTCCTAAATATTAAGATTCAGGGAGAGAGTGAGGGTGGGGCTAAGACCCCTAACATGAAGGGGGGTGGGGGAACTCAAGGTGTTGGGACTCCTGACAAGGACTATAAGACAAAGAAAATGTGTTGGAATAATACAGAAAAGCAACTTATCAGCCCAAATGAGAATTTATTACAAGTGAAATGCTGAATTAAAAAAAAAAATACTAAAGAATATATAAATTATTTCAAAATCAACATTTTGACATGCAGTTTTCTTACTTCATCCTCACATATGTCACCATCAGTTTTCTTCTTTTTCTGAATGTTCCTGTAAAGATAAGAAAGGGTAAATACCATTCAGTAGGAAATAATGCTTTCCTCATCCTCATTAAGTCAGTTACAGATGATAGCTTCAGTTATAATCAATGATGTTCAAGTAGGTTGAAGAACAAAGGATCAAACATCTGATTTTACCCTTAAAAGGCAGATGGTCCACTCACTGTGTTGTGGTTTACAGCTAGGCAGTGATATATCAGTCTTTCAGCCCAACACGTCCAATTTCAGCAATCCCTTGATCAGACATTTTTAGGGCGTGCTTGTTGAGAGGCATGAGGTCTATCTCCTCCCATCCCTTTTCTCTAAAATGGTGCCTCGGAACCCATACATAGACGATCAATCAAACAGACAGACTGCATTTTTGCAGTGACAGCTGAAATCTTAAATATGTTTATAGAAGAATAATTGAACTGCATCTATCAACTAGACAAGTAACGGAACAGTTGTGTAAATATTTAGAACAGTGAAGAAGAACCACACACACACACAAAAAAAGAAAAGTCTGGACAAAATCTAGTATGAAGTTATAAGACAAAGTAGACTGCAACATGGTTGGCACATCTTGAGGGAAAGTCAATACAGAATCACACAAAAAAAGACACTTAAAAAAAATTAGTGTTGAAAAGTAATTAACTGAAATAACTGCACAGAATAGACTGGAATGAAAGAATAAACTGTGTGCCCTATGTGATAAACAACTGTACGACAGGGTGATGATGATGAAGAAAGAGAACAAGGAACAAGAAGACAAGAAGGCTGAGAGCAAATACAAACCTGTTTCCTCGAAGCTGCCTTGTATCTGGTCTCTTAGCTCCTGGAAGAGTGCCTGGTATAACATCCAGTTGTGAAGGGTTTGAATCTTGGATACAAGGAAACATTTCAAAGACTGCATGAGTACAAGTCTATGAGTACCAGTATAACTGTCACAACTACAGTTTTTTTTTTTTTTTTTAAATTTTTGGGAGCCTTGGTGGCATAGCAGTTGGATGCTTGACTGACAACATGAAGGTCTTAGGTTTGAATCCCAAGGTAAATTCTAGGGAAGTAAACGTGGCTGACCATATCACTCACAGAGTGCTGACTGACTCATACAAAAAAGTCTAGCATCATATGCCCAAAACTCAATTGTGTGAAGTACACACTGATGTGAAAGGGGTCCTTAAGTTAAGTAAGTACTATTTATGTTCAGCTGATAAACAACACGAGTATTTCAAGTATTCATGACAGGAGAAATGAAACTCTGGGTCTTCTTCTTTCTTCTTTGTGTTCGGTTTCAAATGCTCAGGTCAGACCATCAGATGGGTTACTTGAATGAACTCACTTTTCAGCTGCAGGTCCTTCATGGTTCCCAATATCTAGCTCTGCACACTTTGCTCTTGAGGCCAGGTTTCTTTTCGAAGTTGTAGGTAGAGTGAGCAGGTCTGCAGAATGTGCTCAGGTGTTTGTGGTCCTGTCTGACAGGCACACTGTGGGGACTGTACCGTCTTTATATTAAAAATTCTGGGTCTAAAAAAATAGTATAGTTTTAAAGATCTGAGTTTTAATTCTATTATTTTAGTTCTTCCCATTTTCTTCTTTCAAAAAATTACCTCCTAATGTTACAGTTGTCTCTTCCTGGTTTGAAATAAACAGAATTCACACTGCAGGGATGACAATCTAACATGTACAAATCTCGGAAAGCCAGCTCCATTGCTTTGCTAAAATCAAAATTTTTTTTAAAATTGTCATGTTCAACCAGCATCCCTAAAGGGGGAGCCTTAGGTTATAATTGTGACTATGGTCATGTGATCCATATAAAATGGCTTAGCACTGCTTGCCACCAAGTAGCTCTGAAAAGAACTCTTGCAGTGTTAATGCGAACACAGTAGACAGCCCCAAATACTGTCCTAATTGGCGAACAAGTTGTCTACCGGCCAGCCAATGGGCAACCTGGTTGTTGCTGTCCCAGCCCGCCCTTTTCAACTGTATGGTTATTCTGTGGCCCCCTTTGGTTAGGCAGTAAGCCAAAGTCTGAACCAGGTAGGGGTGATACCCTTCTAGTGTGTTTTCAAGTTAGACTTTATTAATAATTTTAAAAACAACAAGAATTGAATAAATAATGACTTACCACTTTGGGATATTTCGACATCTAGCTTGGCTGAGACATTATCTGTGCATGTCCTCTTTCTGGATCTGAGGGATCTAGCTGGTATCTTTGCAAGCTGGGTCTCTGAAATGTTTTTAAATAAAAATCCTTCATATAGTTCATTTTCTTGGATTAGATCTTTCTTTATTTTAAACCAAAACAAAATGAGGTACTTCTAAGCAGGAATCTACATTAACATAATAAATATGTACATATTCTTGATGGTAATCTTTTTATAGTAACATAACAAATATGTGCATCACATTGGCACCTTCCCGTCTTTCCAGACGATAGTGTTATATTGCGCTATGAGCAGGCATCAGACTCACAGCCCATGGTGATGGCGAGTGTGACTAGCAAGACCCGCCCGTGTCAAGAAAAGTCTTCCACAATCAATGATAGCATGGAATTTCAGGACCATTGTTAACAACATTTGTGTTTAATCCGTTTCTTTTCAGACACTCAGCTCTCATCCTTTCTGCAATCATTTCTTCTTTCAGTCTCATTCCCTTCCTGATATGCCCTTTCCACACAACACAGTCCATGGCATTTTGTTCCCATGAGTCTGCCTCAATACCTGTGTCATTCATGTCCCACTTGCATACATCTTTATAAAGTATTAGAGGTCAGCCTCGACATCTTCTTCCTGTCTTTAATTCACCATAAAGGATGTCCTTAGGGACTCTGCCATCCTCCATTCTCCAGGTGTGACCCAGCCACCTGAGCCTTCGTAGACTAAGCATGGAAAAGACTGTTGTAATACCTGCTCTTTTCAGTACCTCAGTGTTTGTGATTTTGTCCTGCCACTTAATGCCAAGTATTCTTCTTAGGCATCGCATGTGAAAGCTATAAGCCATCTCTCTTTTGGTGCAAATAGGTTGACCAAGTTTCACTGCCATAAAGCAGAATGCTGAGAACATAAGCCTGATAGACACAGGTTTTTGTTTTAATTGTGAGCTTTCTGTTCTCCTAAACTCTCTTTGTCAATCTGCTCATTGTTGTTGCTACCTTACATATCCTGATGTTGATTTCTTGGTCCAGCGATAGTTTACTATTCACTGTGGAACCAGATAGGCTAAAATGGTCTACTGTCTCAAGCTCTTTACTGTCAATGTAGACTGTAGGTCTGTCATTGACACCTTGCACCATAACCTTTGTCTTCTTTTTGCTGACTGTTAGACCAAATTCACAGCACGCATCAGCAAAGGCAGATAGTGAACATTTCAGCTTCTCCTCTGAGTGGGTGGTTATTGCGGCATCATTTGCAAACAGCAGCTCTCTGATAAATACCTTTCTTATCCTGGTTTTGGCCTTCAGCCTGCATGCATTGTAAAGGCTGCTGTCAGATCGAGAATGAATGAAAATACCACTCTCCTGATCTCGAAAGGCATGTGTCAAAAGACGTGAAAAGTATATTCCAAAAAGATTAGGAGCAAGTATACACCCCTGCTTCACTCCATTTTTGATTAAAAACTCTTCCGATGTTTCACCATCAAAGTTGATTGTACCTTTCATACCTGTGTGGAACGACTCAATAATACTCAGTAGAGTAGGTGGACACCCAATTTTCTTCAGTGCACTGAACAGACCTTTTCGACTAACCAAATCAAATTCCTTGGTAAGATCAATAAAAGCAACATACAGTGGTTGATTTTTGTTCGCGGCATTTTTCCTGCAACTGGCGTAATGAAAATATCATATTAGTGGTAGATCGGTTCCCACAAAAGCCACACTGGGACCCTGGGTAAACGTGACCCCCCAGGATCTGGAGTCTTTGTAGAACAATTCTCGCGAGCATTTTTCCAGCAGTACACAGCAGTGATATTCCCCTGTAGTTATTGCAGTCACTCTGATCACCCTTGTTCTTGTACATAGTTATGATGTTTGCATCTTTGAAATCTTGCAGAACCTCTCCCTCTTGCCAACAGAGTGTTATTAGCTGGTGGATGTGAGGGGTTAGAACGTCTTTCCCACTCCTGATGATTTCAACAGGAATTCCATCTCTGCCTGGGGCTTTCCCTGAAGCCAATTCGTCAATAGCATTCCTAACTTCTACAACTGTTGGAAATGTGTCCAGATGGTCAAGAGTTGGTAGCGTCTACATGGCATTAAGAGCACCATCTGTTAGTTTAGTATCAACTGAGTAAAGCTCCAGATAATGTTCCACACATCTATCTAGCTGCTTCTTCTCTTCATTAATAATCTCCTGATTCAAATTCTCAAGTGGTGCACTTTTTTAATTGTAGGACTGATGGCCTTCTTGATTCCCTCATACATGCCTCTGACATTACCACCACAGCTAGCATTTTGAATTTCACATAGCAAATGTGTGCATACTCTCAAAGAAAATCTGTGTATATTAAGATAAATATGTGCACAGCAAATCTTTCTATATAAACATACTAAATATTGGTGCATTCTTGAAAATCTTTCTATATTTACTAACCAGAAAGTGTTCTTGAAGGAGCCCTAATAACTCAGTCTCCCACCCACTGTTTGTGCCTTTTATCGAGAGAGTTAATTAAGATCTATGCTGATATCAAACTGTTACTCCTGAAAGGTGTAAATGAGCAAGAACATTGCTGAAGTAACTTAAATAAAAAAGACACAAACAACTGCCGATCTTTAAAAAAAAAAAAAAAATCCCCCTCTGGGATTGCCGCCTAAATGATTGACAGCTGTTGACTCAAAGAGTCACGGCCTGGATAGGAATCAAATGGGAGCAAATCCTAGAAATATATAATACAGTTAACCCAGGGTACTAGACGGTTATAGATTAACCTGTTGTCCAGTGTTGGTAGATACCAAATCCCTACTGGTGATAAAAATGATAAGGTTAAATAGGTACAGTTGATAAAGTTGTTATTAACCCTTTGGTATGGAGAAGCCACAAAACTGACCACTTCCAGTTGGTACCATTTCCCCATAAAGCTGCTTTTCTGACTCACTATAGGGACATATTTACGAGATTTCTAGCTAATAACATTCATTTATTTATTGAAATTTCTATGCCACATTATTCACACAGGCTGAAGTGGCCACCAGGCAACAGGGTTAAAGGGTCAAGTGTCAGGTATAATTAGTTTACATGCCTCAAGATATGTAAGGCAGGTGATTCTATGCTGCATTTGTTTTCATCTATTAATTTCCTTACTCTCTTTAATATTTATTTGTGTTTTGAATGATAAATTGATTTTGTGTAATTTGTGTTTATGCAACATGTAAAATAAATAATAAGTTTTTCTAAATGGGAGGGGGGGGGGAGGGGGTTGTGTGTGTGTGTGTCTCTCTCTCTTTCTCTCGCGCGCATGCATGTGTGTGTGTGAGAGAGAGAGAGAGGGGGGAGGCAGGGAGGGAGGGAGAGAGGAGAGGAGAGAGAGAGAGAGAGAGAGAGAGAGAGAGAGAGAGAGAGAGAGAGAGAGAGAGAGAGAGAGAGAGAGAGAGAGAGAGAGAGAGAGAGAGAGAGAGAGAGAGAGAATCTAGGGAGAAAATAGGTCACCAGGACAAAAGAGTTAATCAATCTTACCCGTAGTTGCACTGCAAACACCATCACATGATTCCTTACTTTGCTCCCCAGCACTTGCCTTACTGCATTTCTGTTGCATCTGCTTGTTATCTATTTTATCTGTTCCACATTCTGAAGACACCGTAGCACTGTGTTTTGCTGGAGAAGCTTGAAGGGAGAAGATATCAGCACTTGCTGTCACCTCAGTGTTGACCACATCTTCAAGAGCATCACTAGCTCTAGCATCCAAGTAGTGCTGTGTCATGTCCGTACATTTCTCACTGGCCTTGACTTTTGCTTGTGACCTACTTCTGCAAGACGCCCTGTCTGTAGAATGTTCAATCCCACCTATCTTTACCTGAGTTTCTGTAATGGAATTATCTGCTCTATTGTCTTTGTCAGCACTAGTATTTGTGCTTTTATTAGATTCAGTATTCTTCATCTGAGCAGAGCTTCTATCATTAGCTTTCTTTTTAGACTCCCAGCAAATCTCTGAGTTGGTGAAACATGTAACGTTAGCTGTGTCAGACACTCGCACAGTATGCCTCTTATCTTTCTGTACTCTATCACACAGTTCAACAACACCCATGTTGTCGTCATTTCCTGCATTTCCAGGTCTATCCAGCATCTTTCCCAGATGTTCCTTCTGCAACCTTTGCCTTTCCTGTATTTCATGCCACAAAGTGGGATGCTCAGAGCTGCTGGTGACAATAGAGCTGGCAGGTGTAGTCATAGGTTCTAAGGGAACAGAGATCTTGGATCTCGTAACAGTTGACACATTCCTATCTTTTGGTTTCTGTGATAAATTCTGTGCTACACAAGGATGTGTACATTCTGACCTTGATGTGGAACTGCTGACTGGCAAGTCATGTTTCTGCAAATAGAAAATTGTAACTTTAATGACTACAAGTGCTGTGAAAGTTTAAAAAAAAAAACTGTATTTACTACCTCTATTTAGCATTATTTTAGGGTATTTTATGATAATGAAGTAAAAGACACTTAGTGCTGAGTACCTGTACCATTTTAAGACAATCTGTGCAGAATTATCGCTCCCCCCCCCCCCCCCCTTTTTTTTTTCTAAGAGAAAGCCCTGGCTTTACTGAGGATCAAAAAATGCAGTGGCCTACTACTGTTGGAAGCAAAACTTACCATGACTAAAAACAGTAACCCCCACCTATTCTCTGTATTGACCGGAAGTAGGGTGTTCACTCCACCTGATTTATTAATCACACTGACCTGTAACATTTCTTCATGGTGTGGGTCATGCAGAGTTCCACAGCTGTATACACACATAAAAGCTGACCGCAACATTACCTTAACAAACACCATGCAGTAAAGTGAATGTCTGTACCTGCACAATATGGACTGGGAGCTTACACATGACATGACAACAGAGTGACTTGCAACTGTATACATACATAAAAGTTGACTGCAACACAACCTCAACAAACACCAAGCAGTTAAAGTGAATGTCTGTACCTGCACAATACGGACTGGGGTATCCACAGATGAAGCCTTGTGATGCTGAAATGTCAACATTTCTGAGATAAAATTCTATCACCTGAAAAATAGTGCTTACACATGACAACAGAGTAATATCTATTGGCTGTTTATGAACAGAAAAACTTATGTCTGTAGTTAAAAATTTAACAATGAGCTGTCCTTGTATACATGTTTTTTATAAGTGCTCCTAAGTATAATAGACTGTGTGACCCACAAAATTACAGAAGCTAGGAAGCTTGCTTTTTGGCTTTGTAGTCATGAATGCTGTGAAAGCTTTAAAAAAAAAAAAACAGCGAATAAATGCTGTAAACAAATATATATCTTTATTTTTACATCTCTATCTCTCTCTTTCACACACACACACACACAGGCACACACACATATATCTATAAATATAAAGGGGACATCAATAAATATGAACAGACTGAAGCATTAAATGGAAGCATTCCTTAGGGCATAAAAAAAAAACAAATAAAATGTATCAGGTAACTACTGCCATAACCCATTGACCTCTATCATTGAGGCTTATGGGAAAACATGACATCAATTTGGCTTTTAAAAAGCTATTTGGGTCATAAGGACACATCCCTAAACGCTTTAAAAAAAAAAAAATTCATATCCTGCACTATTAAACACAGCAAAAATGCATACTAGACCTATAGAATTTAACTACTGTTTTTGAGAACAGGTCACTGCAGACAAGGATATAGATCGGTATTAAGTGGAATGTGGCACAACCGGAAGTGACTAGAATTAAGCTTCAAGGGGTGGAATGGTGAAATATTCATCCTCATTTATAAATTCACCTATGCCTACAGACTGACAAAAACTTTCAATTTCCCAAAGGAGCATAGTCTCTCAACAATCTCACACTACTTCTCATACCCTTTGCTATGTCTTATAGCTTCTTTTATGGCTTTCTCATACATTTAACCTATCACTATTTCTCTTATACATGCGCTTTATGGTTCTCTGTCAACTCTAAGCCATCTATCTTCTTAACAAAGTGCTTTCTATCATTCTGACTTCCTGTGTGGGTTCTGGGACTCCACTGTGGGGAAACAAAGAATAAACTGCCTCCCTAATTAGCATGCTGTAGGAGTCAACTAATTAGGAGTTTCCTTTGAAGTTGCAGTGCATCTGCCTGATAGGGCACAGAATCAAAAGTTCACAAATAAACCAGATCTGTAAAATTGATGTGCAGGCAGAAACTAAAGTTCTGCAACAAGATTAAAGTCCAGAAGTAAAAGAACAACCAGAACTTTCCATCAGGGTTTACAGCTGGTGAAAACAAAGAAGAAGAACATCTTGACTAATTCTGCTTCTTTTCTTTTGTGAAGACTTATTCATGACTATTTGGGCATCCTCCGAATAACGGTACCAAATTATCAAGGCTGAAAATATACCTTAACAGAGCCTCAGTCCCATGTCAATTGCAGACTTCCTGCAACTATCGCCACCGCTGAGAGTATCTCCCACGCCGCTATGCGCGGCGTGGAGCGGGGCTAAACTAGATGGCTGAGCAAATAAAATGAAGGAAGCTGCAGGAGATGTGGTAGCAGCACAGCATCAGAGCACTTGGGACATTCCCATAAGCGAAATATCCCTATCTTCAGCAGCAAGCGCAACACTCCAATTCTGATTGCAACAGTAAGTCTTACCTTTCCCTTGAGTGTCGGCCAGATCCCCTGGTTCAGCAACAAGAAAAGATTAGAAAACTATCCCTTCATAAAACAAGGGGCGGTCTGTGGTAAAGCCGCCAAGCCATTTGCCTCATGCTCTGAAGGTTGTGGGCTCATTTTCTAGACATGCCATGCAGTTCACAAGTGCAGTTTCTATAGATATAGATGGGGATCGTTGCTGAAGCTGCAAAGTTTGTCTCTAGTACAATGTTCTCAGCAGGTGGTTAACTTTTCTAATGTGTTCTAATGACAGAGACTAAGCTATACAAGATAACCTAGTACAATGTTCTCAGCAGGTGGTTAACTTTTCTATTGTGTTCTAATGACAGAGACTAAGCTATACAAGATAACCTAGTGCAATAAAGCTATCCTCTTAACTCTAACTGTATCTTCACACAACACCAAAAAAGTACTCACTATTTTGAGAACATCCTCTAATGCTGCTTTAAAGTTGTAACTATGAGCTACAACAATTGTGACTAGATGTGCCAGGTTATCAGGTTCCTTATTGCTTATCATTTCAGCTCCAACTTTCAGCTCTATTAGGGCTTTCCAAGACGTGCCTTGAGCTGGAAATCCAAACAAAAATATATACAAACAATTAATCCTTGCAGATACTGGCAGGAGGAAAAGTTAAGGCTGTTGTGTTGTGTATAAGGGGATACACCATACATTAACTTGGGTGCCAGCAGGCTCTGTGCTAGATTTAGAAAACCGCAGGCAAGAAGACTCCTGTCACACATCCACATCATGCCTATAATAATGACCTATACTGAGCTGGCCGGCTCTGTGGCTAAGTCGATGCGAACGCTTCGTAATGCCGGATTCGATCCCAGCTGCAGGCCATGCGCCTTGCGTTGTTTTTGACAGTGGTATCAAGAAAGCTGACCGTCCAGAAAGCAATGGCAAACTTCTGGATGTAAATTTGCCTTTAAAAAACCACACAAAAGCCAGGGGCTGTTGGGGCTGGTTCTGCAAAGGATACGCATCTATACTGAGCTGGCTAAGGACGTCAAAGCTGGTGGCCTCCAGAGAGGCAGTGTCCAGAAAACAATCTGGCAAGTCTATCAAAGACTCATTTGGAAGATGCAGGAAGTCCAATGGCCAAGGTTCCTACTAAAAGACACACTCTGGTTCTAACATCTACTGACTTAGTCCTACTAAATGCAGCCTAGGTTGAAATGCCCATCAATCAAGTGTCCTACTAAATGGCAACAGAGGTTCAAAAGTCTGTCCATCATATGTCCTATTAAGTTACAGTCAAGGTTCAGATATATATCCTTCAAAGATCCTACTTGATGACCAAAAGATTAAAATGTCCACCAAAAGTGGCTTCACTCATTGGAGTGTCATGACTCTAAGCTTAAACCATGCCTGATGCTTGCTTTCCAGATACTGCTGTGCTAAGTGCCCTGAAGCACCCATGTGAAAACTGCCATTGGCTATGAGAGAAGTCTAACATGCCAAGGAAGTGAGATGCCCATTTTGTGTGGTAATTCAAAGTCTCAGATTTGCAGATCTCTAAAAGGTACAATCTATGAGTGGAAAGTTCAACACACAGAATGGAGGTTAAGCAGACATGTGCAGGATATGACGTTTGGTGGATGAGCCCAGTACCCTAGTGCTCTCAGATCTCCACTTATGGTGGCTTCCTTGGATGATGGGGAATGCCCATATTCTGCCAACCAGTCTTCAAGAGGTTGGCTTGGATGTGGTCCTTTGGAGGCAACACTTGTGGGTTAGGAGATGACAGTCATCATTCAAATGAGTCTGTGAAATGTCCCTGTGAAACTAACCAGAAAGGCTAACCTGCATCCTAAAAAGTAATATGAGGACTTATTTTCAGGTGGTCTTATTTTCAGGGAAACACAGCAGATCTCTAGTGGCATGGCATGCTCAAAATTATGTTCAATCAAACACAGTTTTTTTTTTTGGGACATCTTATAAGAAAGAACTGGCTCAAGAACATAGTTACAACTGGCAAGATAAATGAACAAAAACAAACAAAACAAAAAAAACACAAAAAAAAAACAGGAGGAAGGCAAAGAGATAAACACCTGGATGGCTTGGCCAAATGAACAGTGTGACCCAGGAGCACTGGCCTGATCAGTTATTCTGGCCATCATGTGAAATAGAGAAACATGATTGACTATGCTTATAGGCAGAGCACACGATGATGATAATGATGTTCAAACACTTCCTATTAATGCGCAGACTGATTTCGCAGACATAACTTCAGAACCTATAATTTACACTGTAACACATGTAAGCAAAAAACATCTCTCAAACAAGAAACTTTAGCAAAAAGAAGTGTGTTACCTGAACAGGAATATCGCTTCACATCTTGAGCCCAGATAGATACAGTCTCCCACAGCTGCTCTGAGTTATGGCTTTGCTTAAAGAACATACAAACTCCACATTGTTCACATTTAAAATAGACATTGTCATACCAATTACAAAACTCAGACATGTTTAGCGACAAGAAGATATCACATGTACTGCAAGTATCTTGAGCAGCTTCAGCACAGTATTTACTTACAGATGACCTTGGCTCCCATGCTGACCTAGCCTAAAATGGATACCAGATAAAGTCTGGGAAGTAAAGGCAGGCGGCGTGATGCTGATCACATCACTCACCGAGTTGGTCTATAAAATATAGGCCTAGTACTATATGTACAAGACACCTAATGGCATGGACAAGGGTCCTTTACTTGAAACCAAAGCTGGTACCGAATCAACTTCAGTGTAGTTTTGCTTTAAAGGGGGAACCTTATTCAGATTAACTCATCAACCGTACTTTTTATGCAGTACACATAATATACTGGAATGATACAGAGACAATCAGCCTGGCCCCAGAGCAAGGATGACGTGAACATTTGTGAATTATTCCATATTTTTACGGCACCCACCATAGTCTACTGGCATTCAAAGCTGACCTTGGCTCCCAGGTTAAACCAGCCTAAAATGGGTACCAGATAATGTCCTGGGCCTATAAAAAATATCATTCTAGCATCATATGCCTGACCCACTACTGGGGTACAAAACAAAAGGGGGTCTTAACTCAACTCCTTAACTCACCAAACAATGCATCATATGTTGAGCTATCTTTGTGTAGCTTCTGAGTTCCTTTGTATGGGAAAAGGGGGGGTGGTGGGAATAGATCCACTGCCCCCTAACGATCATGTCATACGAGTTGACCAACCAGGCGTTTTCGTCTGAAGTCAGAGTGCATCTACCTGAGAGGCAAGGAACCAGCAACAGGCTGACAAATAAGTCTGATCTGTAAAATGGATATGAACACAAAACTAAGGTTCTGGAACAACATTAAAGTCCAGAAGTGGACAAACAACCAGAACTTTCTGCCAGTTTACAGCCAGCGAACGCAAAGAAGAAGAAGATGCGGAGCCAAGACTATATTTGCCTTCACACCTCTCGTCTGAGGAAGATTTCTGCAGTCATGAATCTCTTTATTCTTCTGTGTTCACTATCAATAATCACTGCTGGCAGGTTGTGTTATTGTTTATAGTTGGGCTGCAATATCTGCACCTTTCAGCCAAACAAATATGATTTCAGCAAATTCATAATTAGTCACCATTTCTGATATGCTTCCTAGGGTGATGGAGTGTAGTTTCCCCTAAACATGGCAAAGGAGGACCTCACCAAAGATGGTACAAGACACTGAAGATGCATTGGCTAAGGAAGCACACAGGGCTGGAGAACTGGCTGTAGAAAGAGGGACTTTCAGGTGTGAGGAAAGTGACAACCTGTAAATAACTATATGATACATCCATACACAGATACACACACATGCATGTATAAAGACAGACAGTCAGACTGATGATGACCCATCCCTGAGCCTTCAAAGATAAACACCACATTAATCAAAAACATATCTATGAAAACTGAAGATAACAGATCAAAGCATACACAGCACCAGAAGCTTGGCAATAAGAAGCAAACCGAGTTCTTCAGGCTCAAAACTGGAAACATAATATTTTCACTGAAAAGGTCCCTGAAAATGTTTGCTGCAAGCACTAGATTATACTTCCTATGAATGTCCAAAGTTTTCCAGAGAGAATTGAAATTTAGCCCAAAAGATGCAGCCCTACATGACATGTTTTTAGTGTCCCATGAAGATCTCAAATACTTCCATCAGGTTTACAATGCATGCCTAACTAGGTGCATAACAAATGTTGACTGAATTGAATTTAAAAAAAAAAAAAGCTTCTAGTATTAATTATTAAAATTTCATTTTAAACCTTGTCTTCTTTTCTTCTGCCTTTCTAACCACAAGTTGAGCTAGGCCCCTCAACCAACTCATTCTAGCCTTCACTATAGCATGCATCTTTTCCTCATGTACTTCCCATCTTTTTAACTTTGCTCTCTAGCTCCCTTCTCCATTTGTTTCTAGGTCTTCCTTTATGTCTATGCCCCTGTGGGTTTAAACCTTATGCATTGCAATTACAGTGAAAACAGAATCTGACATACCTGACTTGACAAGAAGTTCGGCTCACAAAATATGCCTATACGCCTGCTCCCTTGGTTCAAGTCTACCCAGAAGTCATCATATCCACTATCATTAGGTTTATAGAGCTGAGAATATGACAGTATCGTGCTTAACATATGCAACAAATAACATATGCCACTGAGTATTAAATTTAGTTATTACAACTGTATAAATATTACTGATTGGAGATTTAGGAATCATGATCATAGGACACTGAGCACACCCACAGGTGCTCCGTCTCTCACAGCAAATGTCTTAAAGTATAGATACTAACTGTTCCCGTAGCATACTGATTACACACGCTTTCTCTCATACATCTCTCCTTGCCTGTTCTACACCCAATTCTTCATTCATACATTCTTACACATGTTATCTCATTTAACCTTGTGTCTTCTATCAGCATTCCTTCCTAAATGGTCTTCAGAATGTCTCCTTTGTCCAGTATGAGTGTTCCTGTGGCCATCCCCTTTGTAGCCAGAAAATTCACTGTTTCATTTCTTCAACCTCCTGCATATCCCAGACAAGTAGTCCTTGTAATGCTGACAAGCTGATGTTTGGTATCCACCCATGCCACATTGTTCCATTTTGAATCTTTGGCAGTACCAACTATAATTCCTCTGGTTACTCTATGTTCTGCTATCCACTGCAGAGCTATAGCCACTGCCTCCACCTAAATAACTCATGCTTGCAGATGTAGATTTAAAAAAAAAGTACTGTTTACAAATATTAGAAAAGAACTAACAACAATACCAAAAACAAGTTATTTCAATGCATGAATGTATAAATATCTGCAGTTAAAACTTTTTACTCTAGAATAAATACACAACAATGGAATCTTTGTCTGTTGGAGGAGTATTAGTTTGTGCACTTGTTTACCAAAGTCTGTGGTCCGAGTTCAATTCAGAGCGCAGGCCAGATCCTCTTTCCCTCTACCAGTACAGCTCTGTTTTTATCCTGCAGCAACAAACTTAAACATTTTCATTATCATCAGTCAGTCTTTCCCCTTGAGCCTAGGGCAATGCATAGGGCAGAGGTCAAAGTTCGCCATATCTGATGGTTTGTTGCAACCTGTTGTAGGTCCTGGGTATTTATTTGGCCCATGGTTGAGCCTTCCCTGAAGGTTTTATGCAGGGTCTCTCTTGGTCTTCCCTGTTTTCTTGCCCCTTCCGGTGTCCACATGAGGGCTTGATGGGGGAGCCCATTATTATTTATTCTGCATGCATGGCCGATGTCATTCCAGCAGCGCTTTCTTTTAGAATTCTCCAAATTAGCTTACTTGGTCTCTTGTCTTATTTGCAGATTGGATGTGAAATCTATCCAGTGCAGATTTAATATTCTTCTAAGACATTTATTCTTAAAATTTTCTAATTTGTTATCTAGAGATCCCGGTGTTTTCCAACTCTAACATCCATAAATTAGCAGTGTAATCAAAAAAGTGTTGAAGATCTTAAGTTTCTGTGTATTTGCTAGAATGTCTTTGACTTTCAGATGTTTGATAGATGTTTGTTCATTATCATTGGGAAAGAAAGTTTAAAATACAAAAAGAATTAGCTGTGTATCCTTTACAGAATGTTGCAAACCAGCCCCAGCATTTATTGGCTGTTTATGGATTTACCAAGCAAATTTCAGTTCAATAGTTAGCCACTGTTTACTAAGCGGTCGGTGCTCTATAACACTGTCAAAATCAATGCAGAATAGTCTGCTGTCAAACCGCCTGCATCCGAATCAATCCCAGTATTTTTGGAATTAAAAACCAAGCTTGCAACCTCTAAGCTACAGATGCCAACTAAAAGTAATGAACTGACCACACCTCCTCTCATTATTCTGTGGCATGATATGTGAGTCATGGCTAGCACACTTCCCCTCTGGCCCACCTGGCAGGATACTGATAACACCCCTTACTGAGTGTCTTCACCAGTTTACCATCTTCACTGGACTGCTGTTACCAGACATTTAAATTGTGAGGCTTATTTAAGATTTTTGCAACTTACTACTATATTTAAGTTCTGCTAATTTCTTCCTACTGACATTACTTCTTGTTTTTGTGTGCTGATTATCCTATTATTTGTTTTGCATTCTTGACTCATAGATGTGAGATGTTACAATTTCATGGGTGTGTTTGCTATCAAGGCTGGGTCATCAGCAAATTGTAATCTGTTGATACTGTATGTACATTACTGCTACCACTGACTGTACTTTACCAATTTTGCGGTGGGGGCGGTGGGGGGGGGGGGGCCCAGAGGATTGTCTTTGAAACTGCAGATTAAGGGCCCAAGCTATCAAAATCTGCAGGTAAAGACATTATTTTTGCCCCCTCAACAACAACAAAAATCATGAACCATTTGGCCAACCAAAATATGAAGTTATCACCATATACCCAATATACATTAAGACACAGAAAAGCATCCTATACTTCGCTATCACTTCACATCCCAATGACAGATTCCGTGGCACCAACTTAAGCCTTTTCTACTGAAAAACACATGAAACTAATAAAAGCTCGAAAGGCTACAAACCTTAACTCCATCGATGCTTACAATTTCAGCTGGATAAGAGGTAACCCTTCAAAAAGAAAAAGATTCTGATTACAGTGAGCATGAACTAGAATATCATTACAAGTTACCAAATAACTAGATACTAAATATTTCTTTTGTATAAGTATTTCAGTTATTAACATTAGCTTTCCTTTGATTTACATAATGTGGAAATATTTCTGCTATGAAAGCTGGCTGTAAACGGATCTCTAAAACTCTTTAAGACTGCAGATCATCCATTTTCCCACCTCTAGTTTTTCTACCTCTCGCTTGTTTGCCTTCAACTTTTCCCTCAAGAATGGTTTTTATGAGTTTTATTCCTGTATGTGATTTTCCGAATGGTTAAGAACACGGGGCTCTCATTCAGGAGACCCAGATTTGAATTCTGGGTAATGTGATGAGTTTTTTCCTACACTACTGTAAAAAGTGGCAAATACAGGCAGCAACAACAGTTATGTCTTTAAATGATGCACATTAACAAACACTTTACATTACAGCAATGCATTTTGTATGAATGGTTACCAAAACAACGCTAAAGCAGTCTTTCAAGCAGGAGTGGAGAAGGCAGAACAGAGATTACAGACCAGAGAGTGACAGCATAAACAAACTCAACAGGAAAAATCAAACATTAATTTTTAGACTTCGGACTGGACACTGTGGACTTCGAGCACACCTGTACAGGATAGGCATAAAAGAATCTGCTGCCTGTGATTGTGGAGCAGAAAGACAGACCCCTGAGCACATACTGCAGTACTGCCCTTACCTCTCCCAGCAAAGACTGTGGATCTGGCCCAGGGGATCCACATTGCGAGAGAAGCTATGGGGGACCGGTGGCGACCTTAAACGTACAATTCTATTTTTGACCATTTTAATATAATATGCCATGCACTGTACCTGGTCATAGGACACGTGTTTTCTTTATTCAGCTTGTTCAGAAAACGTCTGCAGTCCTAAACAAAAGATGTGTATTCATTAATGTCAAGCCTACACATTCAAAAATATTTATTTTTAAATTATACATATAAAATGCAGAAATTAAATAAAAGAAATTAAACAGAAGCAGGTGGCCGAGGGTTTAACATTCATAAAGGGATGTCCATTCTAAGATTGTATTTAGTAACACAAAGTATTTTTAAGTGCAGGATGTGGAAAAAAAATCCAAGCTTGTGCACTGCATTGCAACTACTTGGGTAGAAGGCCTTTATTCCATAGCCCTAGTCAAAATCCCCTTGCTGATACCAGCAAATGGTATAAATATTGAAATCATAGTTTGATAGCAAAAATATTTAGTAAGGTTTCCTGTTTGGGCTGCAAAACCCCATTTTTGAAGAAAAAAAAAATCAGATTCACAGCCTCCAAACAAACATGCCATTCAAGGCAACTAATTAGGGTATTGCTGAAATCGGATGTGTTGGGGAAACAAGGGTAGATATTGCAGACTAGCTGTAAACCATAAACTAATATGCCAACCGCCCGTTTTAAGATGAAAAGTATAAAGTAAGGCAACATTATCATCAAGTGCTTTGCAGATTCATACTTTTAAGCATCTCACAATCATGAATTTTGATACAGCTGAAAGTGCCAAATCTAACATGAAATAGTCAACCTCAAATTTGTGGTTTCTAGATTCAGCTACAACCATATATCAGAATTAATGTGGTCCTGTTTCCAGTCTCTCACAACAAAGTGAATCATGTTTACACTTTACTTTTTTTATTTAAAGTGCATACTGGCATTTTATCTTTCAAAGAGCTGACCAAGGAAGGAGAAGTGAAACTGCAAAACCAAAAACATAAAAAAATTTTAAAATTGTTACAAATTAAAACACAATAAAATCTAAATCAGATCAAAGGCGATGTTCTGAGAGCAAAATGTTTCCTGTAGCAGAATACAGATGTGAGCTGGGGACTATCTCACAATAACTAAGGCAGTAAAAAAATATATAAACACTGACATTCTAAAAAATCTGAACATCAAATAAAACTAGTTTGTAAACATCATTCTGCTTTCTTGGAAACTGAGGTAATTTGATCATTTCAAATCTCACAATGGCTTTTGAAAGAACAGCAATGGAAGGGAAGGTACTGGGAAAGAGAGGCAGGGGCAGACCAGAACAAAGATAGTTGACACAAGACAGACATCTTGGGCAGGAAAGTACATCAGGCAGGGAAGCTGGAGAAAGACTTGAGTTTCTTTCAAAAGGGATGTGATGTGAGCTACAGTCTGTACAGGACCTGCTTCATGATGACAATGACGACCTGAATTTTAACTGTCAATCTATTTATAAAAATTGATAGTAACATCAAAATACTTACAATTTCAAATCTGCTGTCACTGATGTCAAGAAATTCTAACCACTGCTGACTGTCATCCAGAACTTTCTTCATATACTCTGTCCTCATGCTCTTTGGCACAAGTCGGAATATGAATTCAATGATGCATACTTGCACCTCATAATCTGTTCAACAAATATTAAATACAAATTACCATATCAACAATCCTATATGGCTCTGAAAAGTGGAGTGCCACTAACAAGTGACTTTCAAAGAAACTTTGGGCCTATCAAAGATGCAAACAGTGGAGAACAGAGAGTGAGAATCAGCAATGAAATTCATAATACTTAAGTCACGACTAATTACTGGCATCAAGAGGGCTAATTGACTGCAATAGCTGGGGGTGTCTGGAGATAAATGAAAGTAGACCCCAGACAGACCAGGAAGTCAGTGTAGGGATAATATTCAAGCAGACCTACAAACACTTGGAGTCACCAAGTGGAAAGAGAAGACCAATCAGAGAGGTGAATGGAGGCAGATGATATTTGCAGCAATGAACCTCAAGTGTTCAGAATGCAGAAGAAAAAGAAGAAGAAGAAGAAGAAGAAAATGAAAATGTGTAACTATCCAGATTAACAATACAGTTTTTGGTTGGTTTCTTGTGAAGACAGTTTGAATTCTAGATCCGATCATCTGTGTTCAGGTTAACTGTTCTGTGAATATTTCAGTGAGGTGGGTGTAGAGACTTTTTCCCTATGAACTCTAACCAAGTACCTTCTTTTTCTTCGTCTCACATTCACCGCCAATAAATTCCAGAAAGTTTTAACTGTTCGTCTTTTAGAGTTTAGTCTTATTCAAGAAATTAAGTACTGGCTTATTTGTATGCAGACTGCTGGTTCTTCGCCTCTCTGGCAGATGTTCTCTGACTTCAAAGGAAACACCTCTAATTAATTAGTCAACTGTTATCAAATGCTTGTTGGGGAAAGGGGGGGGGGGGGGGGGGGGGTTCAGTGGGTCTATTATTTTTCTCCCACATAATGGGGTCCCTGAACACACAAGGGGGTTCTAAATAAGTACAACCTCCAAAGGGTCTGTGCTGCACAGATTTTCTTCCCCTTGATCTCCAAACTCAGAGCATTGCTCAATATATTTGATCAATCAACACAGAACAGACGTTATCAGTGGTTTTACACTTGAAGAGCTACTGAGAAGGAGATCAGATCACCTATGGATCTGTCTGGAGTACTGGAAAGCTAATTTTCTCTAATCACTAATCCAAACTCAGAAACCAGTGAGGTTTGTAAGACAGGCACTGGTACTTCACTAGTGAGGAGAGGCAGGTACTCCTGTCAAATCCGGACGAAGACTAAAAAGCCTTGGACGACTTAGTCAGAGTTCTCTCCCTTGGCTGCACTACGAACAGTGATCGGAAAAGCCAACGAAACAAAGAAGACAATCACGTCGACATCAGGGCTGCCAATGCTTGGTTGTTTCCCCCAGATCTGTTTTTTTTTTTCGACGCTTCAGGACAATTCTTTTTTTTTGTTTTTGGGTGTGTTGTGTTTGTTGGTTTTTGCCGATTTGTATGCTTTAATGATCGATAAATTTGCGTGGTTAGGGGTAGGGGTTAGGGCTAGGGAGTAGGATTAGGGTTAGCGGTAGGGTTAGGTTTAGCGTTAGATTAGACAATTTTGACGCCGGAGTTCCCTATAATCGCGCACAGTCCCATACACACACAAACAATCGAGGGCCTCTGGATGCTGGTCAAACGCACATTTCGCCAACGATTGGGGGCACCAGCCGCACGCGTTTGGCGTCATATTTGGCAGAGTTTCAGTGGCGCCACTCCCACAAACATCAGATTGTCGGCCAGTATTTCGAAATCCTACGTCAAAATTTTCACATCTAACCCTAACCCTAACCCCAATCCTAACCCTACCCCTAACTCTAAACCATAACCCTAACCCTACCCCTATAGGAATAAACTCACAGGGAGCAAGTACAGCGGGAATCTACCAGTCATCAGTAGAAATTATCCTCGTCGACACACGTTTCGGCCCACTATTCCTAGACGTATTCGGAGGTGGGCCCTCCTGAGTTCATGACGCTCAGGGCTGGTTCCCCGCTGCACGGAATTACCGGATGGTGTTATACTTTCGGCCAGAGACAAGACGACTTGGTGGTTTCGAAGGAGGTACTGTGAGATAAGAAGCCGCCGCGACAGCGTAATTAAAACAGTCCGCATGCCTGGACGACCGACCCTAACTCTAACCCTACCCCTAACTCAAACCCAAACACTACGCATCCCTACACGCAACCGTATGATGACTACGCATCCCTTCACGATGCCTCACGCAACCGTACGCACCCCTGCACGCAACCGTATGATGACTACGCATCCCTTCACGATGCATCACGCAACCGTACGCAGCCCTATACGCAACCGTGTGATGATAGGTAAGTGTGTCGTTTGTTTCGTTGGCTTTTCCGATCACTGTTCGCAGTGCGGCCAAGGGAGAGAACTCTGACTAAGTCGTCCAAAGCTTTTTATTCTTCGTCCGGATTTGACAGGAGAGCCGGAGAGGCATATTAGGATGTAAAGTAAATAAAGGACCTTTTTTTTTTTTTTACACCAGTGGCGCACCAGGCATACCATGCTAGATGCATATTTTTGTTTACCAACTGGCACACAGGGATGATGTGATCAAAATCCCTTTATCACCTTTACTTCCCAGAACACTACCTGGTACCCATTTTAGGCTGGGTCAATGTGGAAGCCAAGGTCAAATTTGTAAAAAATGACAACAAAACACAATCTGACTCTATGCTGATTATGACCCAAGGTTTTTAAGCAAGTGTCTTGCCACCACACAACCCCACTTCCCATATTAGGATGTAACCAGATTATATTTCAGCACAGGACATGCAGAGTGCTGGCAAAAAGCCTAGGTTTGTATTTCCTCTTCAAGCTTCAAGTTTTTCATTGTCATTATTCTCCCACCTAAAGCCCTCATTACACTGGATTCATAGACTATGAAAAAGCGTTTGACAGCATTAATAGCGAATCTCTCTGGAAATTGATGGTGCACTATGGAATCCCACAGAAAATTATTAACTAAGTAAAGGCAGCACATAAAGACATAGAATGTCGAGTTCTTCATGAAGGAAAGCTGATACATTTGAAATAAAAACAGGTGTGCGACATGGATGACTTTTGTCTCTTCTCCTATTTGGACTGGCAATACACTGGATTATGAAGTTAGTAAGTGTTAACTCCAAGAATGGAACTCAGTTGACCCCTACAAAACAGCTTGATGATCTGGACTTCACTGATGACATTTCACTTCTGTCCCATTCATGGAATCAGATGCAAGATAAATTAGATATATTTGATGTGAGATCACAGCAGCTAAGTCTGAAAATCCATAAAGGAAAGACAAAGATAATGAGAATAAATCAGGCAAATAGTAATGTGGTTTCTTTCAATGGCAAACCACTCCAATATGTGGAGTCGTACACCTATTTGGGCCGTAGTGTAGATAAAGACGGGGGAACTGATAGAGATATTAAAATAAGAATACAAAAAGCAAGTGGAGGTCAAGCGGAAACATGGAGAACAACTAAGGCAATTACTAATAAACTGGTGCCTGCAAAGAATAGAGGGAATTAAATGGTATGATAGAATCACCAATGTAGAGCTTTGGCAGAGAACTAAGCAAGCTCCAGTGGACCAAGAGGTGAAGAAAAGATGCTGGCGCTGGATAGGACACACATTGAGAAAACCAGAGAACAATATAACTAGAATGTCTTTGCACTGGAACCCACAGAGGTTCAGGAATAAAGGAAGGTCACACACACAAAAAATGGAGAAGGGAGCTGGAGAATGAAGTTAGAAAGATGGGGAGGACATGAAGAGAGCTGCATGTGATAGCAAAGGACAGAATGACTTGGTGTCAGTTGGTTGAGTGCCTATTCTCCAATGGGGGCTAGAAAGGCAGAAGAAGAAGAAAGCCCTCAAAAATACTACATTTCTCAATTCAAAAACAATATACTGTAATCAATGTTTCTCAAACTGTGATTCAATTGCCCCTGGTAGTAAACTAGCATTTTCTCAAATGAAGGATGAGATTATATTACTTCACAGTGGTTTAGATGTGAGACATTTATCTTCAGTTCCTATACTGGTTGAGCTCACATCCACCTGAAAGACATTTGTAAAAATACCCCAGTGATGTAAAACTAAAAAACATCATCCATTTGGGCCGCCGTCTGTCTCTCCTGTCCTCCAACTTTCTCAATATTATGAAGCATCCCAGTTTTTATTCTCTCACAACATGCCCACAGAATATCAGTTGGTTTTTTCTGATGCACAGAACCAGTTCTCTTTGTGAGGGATTCTTTGCGCATGATCCGGTGGGTCGAGGCAGGCTGGTTACGCAGACAGTGGCTTGAGTCATTGCAAAATTCTCCTGTGTGTGCAGTTACTTTAATATTCGTCCCAGGGCATACAGGCGGTGTTGGTAATGAGAGAGCCGATAGACTGTCAGGTACTGCATAAATTAAAGATGGCCGGCCCATGGATCAGGCAGACATTGTCATTGCCCTTAGAGAAATAGGACATTCTGAGGATTTTGGAAGCAACGTGTCCACATCACTTCTAAGAATACGCGAATTGGAAGTAAAGATCAGCACACCCAAGCATGAGAAGCACACTGGACGCACACAAAGTCTTGTTAACCAACATAGGACTGGTACTATTAACCGCACGACGCTGATGAATATGTTGAGAGGGGAATCTGAGCGCCTATGGATGTGTCCTGAGTGCTGTGAAGGTAATTTAACTCATAACTCTTTGTGAGTTAATTTCTTTCAGATGGTATAAAAAAATAAACTTTTTACAAAATTAAAACTATAGGCTCAATAGCAACTTAAGTACTGGCAGAATTGTAGCACACAATACAACAGAGTTTACAGGTAGCATTGTTGGTAAAACTTAGTTCAAAATGAGACAAACCACTTACAAAACTATATTTACTCGAAGTATGCTCGAAGTAAAGCTTTGATGTAAAGATTCATACTATAGAACTTTAAACTGCCTTGATTTCACAGTGCGTTTAGCAGCAATTCACTGGTTTGTTCTGAACCCACTGACTACCCTGACTCCATATTATGTGATTCACTGATGTTTACACCTGGCTACCACAATCACGCCGTGTGACTGTAATTTTGGATGCTCGACGCCATGTTAAAATTGCGACTTTCATACTGCACTTTTACTGGTTTATTCTGAACCCATTGATTATCATGACTGCACATAAAAAAATACTTTGGCAGTTGAAAATCGAAAACAAGTAGCCTAGCGGCGCTGCTCAGGGAAAATTTTGAGTTAAAAATCTACCCAAAAGTATTTCAGAATCACCTTCAGTACAACAGAGTTCGTGTACTGCTCTGAGATTTTCAGACTCAGGCTTGAGTAAGAAATAAAACGTAGCACTTATGAGTTTACACCGGTGTGCCATTATGTTGATCTGTCGACTAAACTAAACTAAATTGGAAAGTGAAGGTTAAGATATTTCTGAACAGTTTGATGATTGATAATTCTTACGAACTGCCATCAAAAACAGAGTTGAAACCGGAAGACACCGTTTAGCTTACAGAAGTTGCATGGCTGCTGGAGGCAGGTGTGTTATGTTAAATTAGTTTTTGTTAACAGTTTCATGTATGTGCTTATGTGTGTACAGACAGATGCCTCTGTTAGTACAGATTATGTATAACATAGCTCTGTGGCTTAGAGTTTAGTTAAAACTGTTTCACAATGAAATCCTCAACGTTTACTGGGGGTGCCATTTCCGTGATGTGTTTTTGGGAAAAGATTGTGTGGCTTTTTGAGTTTGACAATTCAGTCAAACAAACACTGTTCTTTGGCCACATAATGAGAAGAGAGACATTGGAGAACATCGTGACAACTGGAAAGATTAGTGGAAAGAGAAATGATGTTGGATGGGCTGAAATAATGGCATGGAGAGATATCATCAAGAGAGCTGTTCCAGGCAACCAGGGATCGTGATCTGTGGAGACGCATGAGCGTCTACTCCAGTTGGCATGGCACATGATGATGATGATGATGATGAATTTGGTCATACTGTAACAGAAGTTCATGGTGCAAAATTGAAAACAGCCACTGAATGTTTGAATTTTATTTGCCCAGTTATACAGACCTTTTTTCATAATTATTTCAGCACACACACAATACTGAATGTTTGAATTTTATTTCACAGTTATACAGACCTTTTTCCATAATTATTTCAGCACACACACAATATATATATATATATATATTTATATATATATTATATATATATATATATATATATATATATATATATATATATATATTATATATATATATATATATATATATTTATATTGATTTGTGTCAGAAGATTTTTCTGTTGTTTTTTTTTTTAGTATGAATGTACAGCCACATAATGATGATGTAAAACAAGATAATGTTTTTTTTTTTAATTTTTGAAAATTGTTCTCTATTCAATTAGGAAATAAAATGCAAAAATATTATGAGTTTATGTTAAATAACTGTGAAGCTATGGCATTTTTGTTACTCTATCAAGCTGTCAGAAAGAAACAGTTTTTGGTTAACTTTTTTTGCACCAATCTACAGCCATATTACCAAACATGAATGAAAGAGGTATTGAGGCGGAATCATGGGAACAAAATGCCATGACCCGTGTTGTGTGGAAAGGGCATATCAGGAAGGGAATGAGACTGAAGAAAGAAATGATTGCAGAAAGGATGAGAGCTGAGCGTCTGAAAAGAAACGGATTAAACACAAATGCTGTTAACAATGGTCCTGAAATCCCATGCTATCATTGATTGTGGAAGACTTTCTTGACACGGGCGGGTCTTGCTAGTCACAGTCGCCATCACCATGGGCTGTGAGTCTCATGCCTCCTCATAGCGCAATATAACACTATCGTCTGGAAAGACGGAAAGGTGCCAATGACAGCCATAGTATGATGACATACAATAAGATTGCAGGATTTTTAAATTTTTTTTTTAATTCTTGAAGATTGTTCTCCATTCAATTTGGTGTAAAAATGCAAAGTATTACCAGTTTGTATTAAACAGTTGTTAAAATATGACATTTTAAAAATCTACATTGCTGTCACACACAAACTAAAAAGATTTTTTGGGTAGCCTTGTTTGTACCAATTTACAGCTAAATGATAAGGATGCTAAACAAGATTATGCAGTTTCTATTCTTGAAATTTTTTTCTCTATTTAATTTGGTGCTAAAATACCTATATTATCAGTTTATTTCAAAATGTTGCGAAGCTAATGCATTTTTAGTAGACACTAAAATATGTGGTTTCTGGGAAAGTGCAACGGCTAACGCGCTTAGTAGTCAGTGGGTTAAACTTAAAAAATTACTGTGTGGGTTCAAGGTTGCATTTTAAAGTGGAAAGAAAAAAGAATTTACCTACTACTCCTTTTCGTATATGTTGCAAAAAGGGAACTAATTAGGAATTTGCTTAAAAGTCCAGATATCACAGCTTAGCTGCAAACCACAACATGATTATCAAATGTACTATGAAGGCAAGCAGAGGAGAAGAAGAAGAAAAAACAACTTGCAAAAGATTACTTCTTCTTCTGCCTTTTTAACCCCAGTGGAGCATAGGCCCTCAACCAACTTATGCCATGTCATTCTCTCCTTCATTAACTCAGGCAGCTATCCCCATTTCCTCCCCATCTTTTCAAATTCATTCTCTAGCTCTCTTCTTTATGCGTTTTCTGGTCTACCTCCCATTGTTCTTTCTACATCGTACAAAGTTCTGACATTCCAGGTGACAATTCTGGAGGTTTTCCTAGGCGAAAGGGGGAATGTCGACGATCCGGACTCCTTTCTGCCTTTTCCACACCATGTTATACCTTGTCTACTAGAAGAGCCTCCCTTCATCTTTGTTGCCTGGGTTTTTCTCATTTCTTTTTGACTTTTCCATGGTTGATTGGTTTCTGTGTCTATCATTTTTACAGGATGAGGTAGCCAACATCAAGCCCAACCCTACCCTCTGTCACCCCCTATGACATGCCTGGTAGGGTGTAGTGTTACTATTCTTTGCTTCCTGTGAGGGCCCCAATGACACAGGGGTGAAAAAACAAAATTATTTATGCAAAAGTAATTCTTTTTCTAATTTTTTATTTCATATGCTACTCAAAAAAAAAAAAGTAATGCATGGTTATCTGATGGTGTTTTCATGTTAAACAAGAAAAACATAGTTATCTGATGGTACAGTTCTATTAGCTGATGGGGCAACATATAAGTTTAAAAACTATCAATGATGCAAAAAGACTATGAATTAATTGGGTGAACCCTAAATTATTCTTGCGTGCAATTTGAACAATTTCACAGATTATATTACAAAGACTTTGAATAGCAGAATTATGGGGGGGGGGGGGAGCGATGTTTCTTTCAGTAGCTATGCGTTTCATTTTCTTTTAAAAGCGCCATTGGATAACTATGCCTTTTTTTTTTTTTTTTAACAGTATAGATTGTTGCAAACAGTGTTACACAATTATTTCAGCACTGCACTTATTTTTACAGAACTTACCACCGACTTGAGCTATGTTTTGACATAACACTGACCTGTGGAAATGAGACATATACAATTACTTAATAACAAAACATATCACCAATTCTTCTTCTTCTGTATTCTCACTTGAAAGGGTAGTTGGCATATTGTGTCATGGTTTACAGCCAATATCTACAAAATCTAAACTTTTTTTTTTCTACCCAACACATTCAGTTGCCCCAGACTCCTAAAAAGCCGTCTTTTATGACATGCTGTCACTTATAATTGTACCTCTTTATACAACAGCTTTTTGTTCATCAGATAAACTGTTTATAATGGTGATAAATGTTGTGCTGTACTAGTTCTGATGAGGTTTCACATGTGGTTCCATTAGGTCTTGTTGTCAGAGGACGTTTAACTAATGGTGATTCTTCCTTGTAGCATATCGGTATTGGTTTCTAAGAAGGTTGGTATCCGCTGACTTTCTTATTGTGTTGTCTAGTTTCGTTCCTGGCTATTTCAGTACACATCTGGTGGAAGATTGTTTCTGTTGTTTCTTTCCAGTTCCCCCCTGCCACCACCGTTGCAAGATTCTTTTGATACTGATTCTGTATTCTTATTGTTCGATTCCTTCTTCTGTCTTCCTTGCTGCTATTTTATTTCCACTTATTAACATATAGGTTCTTTGTTGGTAATGGTGATTAGTCCTTACAAGGACTTTTTTGTAATCCTGACTTTCCTTCCAACCTCTTACTTCTGTTTCTGTTTTATGTCTGGTGTCTTTGTTTTGTCTCCGGTGATGTTTTCATCTGTTCTCTCCTTCTTCTCTCAATCTCTGTCCGTATTGAACCTGTGCTTGTTGAAATCCCATCTCTCCAGAAGACTGTGACTTACAGGGAGACCTGGGAATCACAGGTCATGGCAATGATTCATAGTACCAAGCATTGGCAATGTTTCAGAGATCAAGTGCTGTCTGTGTAGTAGCATCATTCTCTTAGTGCTTAGATGGTTTAGACGATATATCAACATCATGGCACAGAGGGTAACCCATAAGTGCTCCGTTCTACTTCTGATTCAAGCTTGGGTCGGAAGTTCTCAGCACAGTGCACGAACTCTGTAGCACCGGCAAGGACCCTGTAATACTTTGTGAAATCTCTTAGTGTGACTTGTTTAATGCAAAGGAAAGGTAGCATCAATATGTCTGCAAAAAAAAACATGTAGCAAAAGCTACTGAATGAGAAGAGAAAAGGAGTGCTCTGTCAGTCCGACTATCATAGCTTTGCTAGTAGGCCAGCAAGCAGCTATGGGCACAGGTGAGATAACAATAACTGAATGACAAACTTTAAACTATCCAGAAATGTCTTTTTATAGGTAATAAACAGAGGGGGAAGATAGAAGGACACACTAGACAACATAAAAATCTGAAGCTATAGTTACCGTGCTTTTTTATAAGTAATGTACCAGTCGATGAGCTTTCATTAAAATAATAAATGTACTGTACTTCAAAAGCTACCTTGCAGGTTAACTTGATCAGATAATTTACCTTCTGATTTACACAGGATACTTGTTAGCTTTTACCAGCTGTAAACTCTGGTGGAAAGTTATGGTTGTTCGTCCCCTCCTGGACTTTGGTCTTTATCCAGAACTTTTTTTGTATGCAGACGGCTAGTTTCTTGATTCTCAGGCAGATGCATGCCAACTTTGGAGGAAACACCCTTAATTAGTAGCCTCATGTGACACGCTTGTTACGGAGGCAATGGGTCTATTCTTTATTCTCCAAAGTAGAGCCCTAAAACCCAAACCAGGAGCACGGGATACTATTGACCGTAGTGCTAGACAGACAGCACATTAACTACATTACCACATTGGCTTTTCATCATATTATGTCAAACCATAAGAATGTCATGATTCTGTAGCATCCATAAACATCACAAAAATTGTAAAATTTAAATGTAACAAGTAAAAAATATCTCAAAATGTTATTTTACTTACAACTGTTCTGGAAACTGTTTCCTACCAAGGATTTCACGTTTTGTTGACAATGGAACGTTTTCTAGTAGAGTATTGAAACTCTTCAGAAGCTGTAAAAATCAATTACTAGTACTTTTTATGCCACAGAATACAGAAATAAATCAGTCTTTTTTTCTATTCAAATGCCTTATTTTACAGTATTTCAGAATATTACTTTTATTATAAACAGATACAAAATTTAAAGATATTACAGCACCAATAATTCTCGTGCAAGAATTACTAACAAGGTTAACTAGGCAACTTTAACAACATTCTAAACTTTATGTAATATGTGATAGAAAAAAAAACAGGTTAAGGCAAAGCAACTTCAGTTTCCTATAGTTTCCAAACTATGAAATAAAACACATATCTCCCAAAGTAAAAAGGAAAAGAACATAGGACATGTTGATTCTAAAGCAGTGGGATGGGATCCATTTAGTTAAATACTTCCTATAAACTGCAGCTTGGCTTCCAGGTCCACCCAGCCCTAAATGTACCAACCAAGTAAAATCCTGAGAAGTAAAGGCAGTCGGTGTGATGCTGACAGCATACCCCCACATAGTGCCAAATGGTCCGAAAATATAGGTGTAGCCCTATATGCCCAATACACCTATCATCATCATCATCCCGTAACACTACGTGTCATTGGGTCACCAGTTTCTGTTGACTGTCTGATCAGCTCACTCCACCTTTGGCGGTCAGTTGCAATGAACTTCATGGTTGATTGCCTGAGGCCTGTCCAGTCAGTCAGGTTCTATAACGAGGTCTTTCTTGGCCTGCCTCTTCTCCTCTTTCCCTCTACTGGGCCCTGCAGTATTGTTCTTGAGAGGCCGTTAGATCTTGTTACATGTCCATATCATTGCCTTTTTCGCCTTTTCACTGAAGTTAAAAGAGGTTCATAATTGCCAATAATACACCTAAAGGCATTGAAAAGGGTCCCTTGTTTTACTACTTGACTTTAAACGGCAGCAGGCCCAGCATGCTGGTAGTGGATTAAATCTTGCTCAAAGAAACAATAAGAAGAGAAATTGGATTGACCATGCAAGCGACGGATAGACGGCCATGAATACCAGCATCTATGAAGCACATACCAAGGCCCCAAAAATGCCTCTTCAAAACCTGATGCTGAAATGCAGAACAGAACTACTGTCACAAATCGCTCCTGTCGCGTGCCTGATTTAAGGATTTCTCCTTAAGAACCAACAGCACTCTGAAATAATTATGTTGAGTCGTTTGGCTCGTATTGGTCTAAGGGAAGTCCCGTGGCCAATATACGCTCAACTTATTTTAGGAGTAGGGCAACTCAAGTTTTGGCACAACAAAATATATAATATTCCTAGGCACACTTGGCTGGACACCCCCACTACTATAAAAAGGAAGCCCCCAGGTTATGATAGTATACTATAATAGCCATGTTAACACAGATAACACTTATTACTCACACAAACATTAAAGCTAGACAGTTAGAATAGGGAAATAGGGACACCCAAGTCAGCCATGACAATTTTTGCATGTAATTAGTACAATATATACATATAATAATGAATAGATTCTCAAGAATATTTAGTTAATGGAGTTCAGGAATCAATGACACAACCCAGATATTGAAGCAGCCAGATATTGTTCCATGAGAGTACATGAGTTCATCATCGGACTTATCAGGTGCTGTTGGAAGAGAGCATGTAATGTGAGTAAGAGATCACTTAGCCTAGTTCGTAGGTCAATGCTCCCCTCCGTCCATGGTGATTCGACTGTAGTTGACTCAATCAGTAGTTGGGCCTTGATTTGATCTGGTACAAGCTGACTGTCACGAGCGAGGACACAGGAACTGCCTAGGAGCCCAACAAAGCTCTTGGAGACTATGATCCCCACTGCCGGTCTCACAGGTGATGACACAGTAACTGCATAAGAGCCCAACAAAGCTCTTGAAGACTGGTTCTCTGGATTGATGACATAGGTGTCTGCAATTGTCCACTGGTCCTCGAACTCACAAACAAGCTCTTGCCATGTTGAGGTAGTTGCACAGTGTACAGGACTTTTGGATCTGCTTGGTGCACAGAATGGTATGCTTGGTGGTTGTTGGCTGGACTGTGATTCGTCTGCCTGATCTCTAAGGAGGTATCATCCTGTCAGGAAAGAACTCAGAATTAGTAATCAACCTTATTCACACACCAGCTCACCCCACCTCTGCCACCTTTCTCCATTCCTCAGAGTGTAACTCTCAAGAGCAGGAGACAATGTCTCCTTTCATTTATCTGTCTGTAAAATAGTGCAACAGACAGAAAACAAGGTATTTAGTGGAGATAGATAGACACTACCACACATAGATCATCCTCTCTCCACCCTCACATCTGCACTCGCAGACATACAATGTTTACAGTTAGTAGCTATATATATATTCCGTCCCCACAGGCCGTTCACTACACACCCACTGAATCTGTTTCAAACTCACCTTTGACTCAGAGCCCTAGCCTTGACGGCACAGTCTTTCACCGGTTAAAGATGACCTAGATTCCTTATTTCTGTTATGCGGCACAAAGCTTCGTTTGGCTGGTCAGAGAATAATTACTTGTAGGGTTTAATATCTTTACAAATGGTGTGGGTTATGTAGAGCACCAACTAATTAGTCTGTACAGGGAAAGGTCTAATGTTCGGAGCTTGATCTCTGGACATCAAGAACGGTTGAACTCTGTGCGATCACACAGCTGACTCTGCCCTCTCTGCAGCAGTGGCCAACTTTAAAAAGACATCAATTATGGTACTCGTAAACTATAATCAACTTACCCAAGCTTAGGAAATCTTCCAAGATAGAAATGGAACTTTGAATGCGCCAATTTCTACAAAGACTGTATACACGTCTTGACACTTTGGGATCAGGCGAAAGAATGTTTTTTCAAAATCAAACTTAGCGTCTCTAGGAAAGAAGTCCCCTGTATTCCTGCCCAAGGAGTAAACCGGTTTACAGGAATTTCTAAATAAATTACCATAAATCGTCAACCTACAGTTGCAAGTTTGAAAATGACGATTTATCAAAGAAACTAGAGGGTCTAGAAATGAATATATTACCAGATAAAGGTATATATCAATATAAGGGACTATATACCCTTCCGGACGGGTTTAAGTTTGAAATTTGACTGAGCGTGAGGGAAGTCAAAGTCGCTCGCGACTCGTCCATTGTGTAGGGTTGGCTGCTCACCTCACGACAACTACACAGGAAGAAGAAGAAGATACTTAAGTAAAAATGTGTAAGAAGCTGCAATAGCTCAATGGATGTTTTCTACCAGCACAGTGGTTTTCCTTTTTTTTTTCTCTGAACGTTTCATGCTTTTCAGCATCAGGTTTTGAAGAGGCTTCTGATCGAGCCTTGATGTGTGAAACATAGTTAGTAACATGCTAGCATTCATGCCTTCAGGATGTCACCTATCCATAGCTTGCTTGAGTGACTTCTTACTCTGCTTCTGTTGTGTCTAAGTGACAGTGCACTACCTTCTGGTAGCCTTAACACATGTCTTAACTAGGGCCGAATACGAATAACGGGACCAACTATTTGGCCGAATACAAATAGGAATAGGAATAGTGTATAAAATATATCTTTAAAAAAAAACATTCTTAATGTCAAATGTACGCTGAATTTTTACTTCACATAAAGTAGCACAGAATAGTCTTCTTCTTCTATATCATTCTGAGCCCTTGAGGTTTACTGCTGCAGATATCACTCGTCTCCATTCATCTCTCTGGCTGGCCTTCTCTTCACAATTTGTGACATCAGTTGTTTGCAGGTGTGGCTGGACATTATCTCTCGAACTTCTTTTTTGTCTGCCTCGTGGTCTACGCCCATTCCTCTCTCAGGTGTACTCAGTTTTACTTCTCTGTCATCTGACATTCTTTCAATATGCCCCAACCATTTTAGTCTATTAGCTGTCATGATGCCAGTTGTCAATGGTGATTTAAACAAATTATGTGTTACGTTGAGGCTTCTCACTCTCCATTTCTCGCTGTTAGCATCTTTAATGGGTCCAAAGATTTGTTGTAAGACTGTTTTAAAAAACCTGTAATAAGGCCTCATCTCTTTTATTTCTGCTTTAAGTTTCAGAGCCATATAAAACGACTGGTCTTATCAACGTTTTATATATTTTGATCTTGGTGTTGCGAGACAGACACTTTGACTTTAGCAGATGCTAAAGGGCATAGTATACTTTATTTCTAGATTATATTTTAGATTGTATTTCTTCTCTCAGCACGTTAAAGCAGTTGAAGTTTGCACCCAAGTACTTTTATGTTTCCGTTCGTTTGATTTTCATATTATCAACTTGGATGTGGCCGGAGTTTATATTCTTTCCATGTCTAGTTAGCATTCGTACAGAATAGTAAACATTTAAAAACATTTTATGTTTTGCATCCTTCAGTCAGTCTAGGAATGAAAGAATCCTAAGTATTATAACAAGTAACTAAACTTGGAAATTGTCACTAACAGCTTAGTTAATGAGGACCCCTCTTATTTGTGAAGGTCTGCCATAGATTCCACACATTTTAATAGTCAGTAGCGAGAGAGAGAGAGAAAGAGAGAGAGAGAGAGAGAGAGAGAGAGAGAGAGAGAGAAGAGTCAGACAGAGGCACAAAGAGAGATAGAGAGGGTGAGAGAGAGACTAAGAATCTATATATATTTGCATATCTCTCTCTCTCTCTCTCTCTCTCTCTCTCTATATATATATATATATATATATATATATATATATATATATATATATATATATATATATATATATATATATATATATATATATATATATATATATATATTTAATAAGTTTTGAGTGCAACAAATATAATAAAATGTATATATAAAAGGTCTGAGTGCAACAAATAAAATAAAAAGTATTTTTAAAAAATGATATAAAGGACCCCTCGAATTTGAAGGTCTGCAAACCACCCTTTGGAAACCACCGCTCTAGAGAACTAGAGAGAAATATGAAACAGTGCATCCCAAAGACAAAGGTTTGCATGTGAGGTGTTCAGATATCTCAAGACAGAATAAAGGTACCCCAGATTACTTCAAATACTCCTAAGGACA